AGGAAGTGAGGTCATTTGTCCTCCAGTAGTCTAAGTCTATATCAGCACAACAAACCAACCCTAACTATAGGATTTATCAAAAAGGAAAGTCTTAAGCCCATTGTTAAAACTGGACAATGTGTCAGCCTCATGGACAGAAACTGGAAGTTGGTTCCACAAGAGAGGAGCCTGACAATGGAAAGATCTTCCTCCCATTCTGCTTTTGGAAACTCTAGGAACCACAAGTAAGCCTATAGCCTGAGAGTGAAGTGCTCTGTTAGGAAACTATGGAACAAAGTGATCTGTAATATAAGATGGAGCTAGGTTGTTGAGAGCTTTGTATGTTAGAAGTAAGATTTTGAATTATTTTCTGAATTTGACGGGGAGCCAATGGAAGAAGCAGTGGCACAGCAGCAGCAATAGTAGTAATAGTAGTATGGGTACAAGCAAGTTTTTTCACTTCCTTGTTTTATAACTCAATCCAACAGGATTTTTTTTTAGTAATTCTAGTACTAGTACTTGCCCCAGTACACGTCGCACCACCGTATAAGTCGCATCAGTCCAAATATGTCTAATAGTGGAAAAAAACCATAAATACGTTGCTTTGCCGTTGACGCGTTGCATTTGTTATGTGTCAGCGATGCAACGCTGACCACCTGATCGATTGGCTGCCAAATGGCCAGAGTGTGCACGGGAGGACTTTAACAAGAATTAAACGAGATTAACACTTAAAAACAATTGTTTGTTTGTTCAGAATTATATCAAAGGTGTGTCTCAGTTGAACTTTTCCTTAATACAGTAAATGCACTTTGACGGTCAAATCAGCTGCATTTCAAAAGCCGATGTGCGGCTGCGGGAGCGTGCAAAGGGAGGACTTGCTGTGCATTTCTTTGAAATTTAACAATATAACCACCTAAAAAAACTTGTTTGCTCGACTTTATAGTAAAGGTGTGTCTCAGTTGAACTTTTACTTAATAAATTCACTTCAGTGGTCAAATCAGCTGCATTTCGCTTGAATGGCACGGCGAAATGCAGCTAATTTGACGTTTGCTCCAGGAGTTCAGGAGCGAGACGAAGGTGGCTTTCTATGACAAGCCAAGTGTCTCATTAATAGTCACTTTTATCTATTAATTCGACACTTGATTTGACATATTAGTCGACTGCCCTCTAGCGGCTGAAAATGGTAGTGCTAAATATTTTCCATATCAGAATGAATGAAAGTCAGGTCTCAGCCAAAAACAAAAAAAACATAAATAAGTCGCTTTGCTGTATAAGTCGCTAATTTATGCAAAAAGGTGCGACTTATACAGCGAAAAATACGGTAATTTGGTGAACAAGAAAATGGGTTTATTGTCTTTAGTAATCAAGCCGAGTCAATAAAGCCTAGCTTTAATTTTCCTCCTTGCAGACATGCGTATCACCCACCACCAAAGATTTAACTTAAAAGCTAGTCTTTTAATGCTTTTAGCTATATCAAAACATCTAAGTTCATGCTCAATAATCCAGGTTAAAAAAACGTCCTCTGGACGGTTTCTTTGTGTTGAAACATTTCATCCTTTATCCAAAGGACTTCATCAGTCTCAGGAGCCACAATAAACTCAGTCCCACAAGCAGCACACTCACATAGTGGACCAACCAGTTTGCTGGTGATAAGATGGTTTCTGGAGTCCGCCCCGTCAATTCCTCTGAGGCAGCCATGGCCAAAGTGGTTCAAAACATCAAAGTTCATGCTCGGACTGATTAAGTTTTTTGGATGAAAGACAAAACATTTCAACACAAATAAACCGTCCAGAAGACCTGACTAACTTTATTGGGCTTTTAGCTATAGTTCTGCTACTATTAGATTAATTTTTGCCATTTTTACCTAACCTTTTGCTGCTTATAGCTTCAGCTGTGCTACATACTTTTGGACATTATGGACATGTCTTTCTGTTGTATTTACGTTTATTTACTTCATAATATATTTATTTAATTTTGTCACGTCCCACCTTCCATAATGATTAAAACAATTTTCTTTTTTTTAATGCAGAGTTTTTCACCTGATGATTCAGGAGAATAAAAATGAGCACTATATCCCTCTCTAAATTAAAAAAAATAGTGACCTTGATTCTGTCTGGCTAATTATTAATATTCACTATATAACGATGTTTACCGGAGCCTTCGGGACTTTAAATGTGAACTTAATTGCATTTGAGTGCAGGTCAAGGTTGAATGTTGGAGCTATGAGGTCAAAATTGTACCTAATTTTTTTGTACTGTATATATGAGACGCTTTGTTCTGGTACTAATGTATAACATCCTTCATAAATTAAATTTTGTATAAATATATTCTACCACAGGAAACTAAGAGTTGCCCCTGTAGTGCCCTTCTCAACAGCTCACTAGATTTATGGACTTCAACATTTGGCGTGAAGCTATTTTAGGATCGTGAGATCCGTACTAATATTCTGGCTCATCCAGCTGATGTATGGCTGCCATAGTCGGCACGGTAAAACCCGGAGGAATAAATAACCGTGACAAATGTTGGCTGCAGATGAGCTTTGAGTCGAGTCTGAATGAAGAGGTCGTGAAAACAATGATCGTAAATAAAAAAAGCTGTGAATCCTTTGTCTCATCGGGCGTTCTTCAACTCGGATATCAACAATTTTTATTTTATATTACAAGAAAATGGAAGATAAAAAAGGGACTTTGTTATAAGAGTTTGAGAATGGGAAACTATCAAAGGGACAAATGATAAACCCGTATGTTCTTATAGTAGAACTTCAGTTTGCTCAACAATAAATTGATAAACTACACAACTACAAGGACTGACATATTTTACATTGTTTTTTGCTTGTGAGAAAGTGTCATCTGCAAAAAAAAAAAAAGAGTAAAATGTCTGTACCACAATGTTATTGTCCCGCTTAAAAATTACCGAAGTGTTTTGAATAAAACTGAACAGCTGACAAACCCCTCCAGCAAACTGTATCTCTGCGAATGGTATTTTCGCTTTTCTCCACCTTAATTTATTTAACTCTAATGGTAAATTTAAATTGTATTTTGTTTTTTGTATAAAAATGCATGCTTAGCCTAAACATAAACCATTTGGGTTGAATTAATATATTTGGTGAACTCAAAGCATTTGGAATTACGTCTTATTTAGGAAATTTGGCAAGGAATTTGGTTCTTATGGAAATTTTTACAATTAAACTATTTTCTGATGGTCGTGAAAAAAATCTTACGTCAACACAGACATATTGGGGCTTGTTTCAAGATATAACAAAACTCTAACCCCAATCATTGTTTTTGACTAAGAATACATTTTTATTCCTTTTATTAAATGTTTTTTCCTCTCAAACCCAAATAAAAAGGTGAGAATTTAACAAACATGGGTTCATAAGACCAAAGTCTCGTGATACTTTGACCTATAACTTGTTTATTTTCAGCACGAAAGGCAGATGATCTTGCCTGTGTGTTAGCAAAGTATTTCATGAACCTCTGGACAGACTTTAATAAAACTAATCAATGAATGCACATCTGATTAACCTTTCAACCAGATGTAGGATGGCCGCCACAGCTAATCGACCTTAGCAAACACAAAAATGTATCTCAGTCAATTCTGCAAATACTGAACTAAAATTTAAAGTGGTCGTACCCGAGAGTCATTACAACACAAGCTAAACCTTTTTAAGAATGCACGAAAGTTTACGCTCACTAAATACTTTTCTTTTAGTGGTAGATTTTCCTAACTTGGGTATTTTACATGAAGAATTTATTCTACTTACTTTCCCTTTAGTTTGTGACTTTAATGCTCTTTACAAGTTTATGCTTTTAATAAGTAATCTCTTCGGGACCCAAAAGTCCCAGGTTTGATCCCCAGTCGTGTCTCTGAGCAGGACACCCTATCTCCAATTGCTCCCCGGGCGCTTTCAATAGCTGCCCACTGCTCCACCTGCGTGTATCCCAGGTGTGATGGATTAAATGCAAAAAGCCAGTTTCGCCATTGTATGGGAACATACAATGATGACAACACATAGCACTTTCTTTCCTTTCCCTTTGGTTTGTGACTTTAATGTTCTTTTCAAGTTTATGCTTTTAATAACTAATCTGATTTAATTTGACACAAGGGTGCCAGTTTCATTGCAGTCCTATTGAAAGTAAAACCACTGATTAACCTCACAGCCCTAATGCAGCTGTCATGAACCAGTTGGTGTCATTATGGTAGCTACATTCATGCATTTCATTAATTACAAAAGAGGCAGCATATATTTTTTTGAGTCAGTGTAGATATTAAGTATATCTTAGGCTTGTAAATGGACTGCAAATGGTAAATGGACTGCACTTACGTATAGCGCTTTTCTATCAAGATACTCATAGTGCTTTACAACACAATCTGTGCCCTCATCTATCCATTCACAGAGCACTCTACTATTTCTGTACAAAGAATAATCAGTGCGTTATTACATTTATACACCAATGGGACACACATTGGAGGCAATGAAGGGTTCAGTGTCTTGCCCAGGGATGCTTCAGCATGTGACTGCTGGTGGAATCGAACCCCCAACCCTTGCATTGGAGGACGACTGCTCTAACCACTCGACCACAACCGCCCCAAACCGTCTTGTAGAAACGACCACCTTATTAAAAATAGAAAGAGAATATTCTCTCATCAAATCCAAAATTTATATTTCAGAAATGATCGTTTATTTCCAAAAGTGACTTTTTTTTCCCCACTGCTGAAGTAAAACAATAGGTATCCAGGACTCCAGTTCTATTCATATCAGAGGGTTTCACTGTGTTCAAATGTTCTCCATCGTTATACGTATATCCATTTATTTATTTATTTATTATAGAATGGCTTGGCAGAAAATAGCAAAACTTGTCTGACTGTAAAGCTTTGCACCATTTAAAAATATATATTTTAAGGCGTCCTAATAATGTCTGTGTCTTGTCCAGCATTTATATCTCTCAAGCTCCTAGTATGCTGTGTCCATTTGTATTTCGAGGTGCACTTTGAGCCACACCTTCATCCGTTTCCTGACACTAAAACGCGCTGCTTGCAGTGTCGTAGTCCTTGCTGATGTGGGACGTACTGGGCAGAGACTTAAGGTACTCCATGTGCCTCCTGGCATCCTCTTGGTTGTGTTTGATGTAATAAACGATGTAGGCTGTCACCATGAAGAACCAGCAGAACATGGCCACAAACATGGCCATATCGGTTGTTTTGTGGTGAAAGTTGCAGAAGTTGATTCCAGAGTCCAGAACATGGATCACGGATTGTCCCACGTACTCTTCCTGTACCGATGTATGGCAGCTGACCTCGTTGACCGTCTCAGGGTCAAGCCTTAGTTCCCGCAAAACCTCTTGGAGCAAACAATCGCAGTGCCAGGGGTTGTTGGAGAGCCGGACTCGGGCGTGCAGCTTGGTAAAGGTGTCCTTCGGGAGGCTGCCGAGTTGGTTGTTGGAAAGATCCATGGTCCTCAGGCTGTCCGAAACCCCCTCAAAGGCACCAACCTCCACACTCTCGAGGGAGTTTTGGGATAAATCCAGCTCCCTGAGTCTATGGAGGTCCATAAAGGCCTCCTTAGGGATGACTCTGATTTGATTTGATGAGAGCAAAAGAACCACGGTGTCCTTCGGCAAGTTGTCCGGAATGTTGTCCAGGTTGCGTGAGGTGCACTGCACCATTATGCCGTTTCTCTCCGTGCAGTGGCAGATTTTTGGGCAAGCCTGAACTGTGATCAAGGACAAGGTCAGCAATGTTTCTAAAAAGAAAGAACTCCAAGAAAGATGTTTTATAGGTGATCCACACCTTTGAAGAGCACCCATTAGCAGGCTTTGAAACCAACGAAAGGAGTAAAAAGTTCCTGAAATTGTGGTTACGTGGCAAATTCTTTCAACACAACTTTCCGTTAAAGCACCATTGCCTGACTCTGTTGAAACCAAACAACCAAATCCCCTAAAGTTTCAGTCCCTCGATTTGTTCTGGACCTTCTCTCTCATGGTTTACCTCGACATGTATGAAAAATGAGCCCTGATCCAGTCGATAAGAGGGCGCCCGTACAATGGTTTGCATACTGAGATTCTGGAGATGGACTTGGCAGGCAGGGTGGAAAATATTTTGGCAGGCTGGGTTTTTAGGGTCGTGGGGCGAACCTCCTCAAACAAGCAGAAGAAACCTGGAAATGAATGAGAACAAAAGGTGACAGTGAGATTTTTATGTTTTTGCAAATTTTCCTGTCTGCTCATTTAACCACCCCTTTTCAGTAAAACTTTCTACTGTCCCGTTTTTCGTGTGATGATTAAGGGGCAGTAAAGTTCAGTATTATCATAAGAATAGCAGGTTTCCATAGCATGGCCCCCTGGGCTCCAATTTCCATCAGGACACAATCCGTTAAATAAAGTGTCTCTCATCAACGTGCAGCAGATGAACTTTTGAACACAGTGATGTGTGGTTTAAATAACACAATGATAATACGTAAGATTAATGGTTGCATATGGGAGCGGTGAAGGTCAGAAAGCAAATGAAAACCACAACGTGGTTCATTCGTTAGTTTGAGGACAAACATGACGGAGAAGCGGCAAATCCTATGAACTAAGGTTGACCATGAAATAAACGATTCAACACAGCTTTTATTGGATTAACGTTAAAGGTAAAGTCACTAAACTTACAAATGATCAAAGTTTAGTTATTTGGTCTTATCCTAAATCATGAAAATGTTTTAAAAAAAATAAAATAAAATGAGGAAATATAATAGTTTTCTAAAGTGGTCGCATAGATATTAGATTAAAAAGATGCTGAATAACTTATATGAATGCAACTGAATTATTTTCAGCCAAATCTACAAAACAGATTTATCAGGACTCGTGTTTGTCTTTAAACGCAGCAGACAGGTGAGTTTTAGCAATAAAAAAACAGTTTATCCAGTTATTTACCTGAAAGCTCCTGCCGGCTCGTGTGGCTCAGTCCCAGAGGTGAATCTGATTCAAAGCGTCCGGCAGCAGGATCAACACCTCCTCCTTTATGAGCTCTCCCCTAACCATCCTCCTGCAGGAGCTGCAGCCTCTCCAGGAGTCTGTATCCAGCTGTTTGACCTCCTGTTGGAGCAGCTTTGCAGCAGCGGTGTGTGTGTGTGTGTTAAAGCAGAAATCGTCCCGTCTCTTTGCTTTCAGTTGGTTTAAAAGATGCTGCATCTGCGATTCTTTGACATTGAGTTAAATCTGACAAAGTTTATCCTGGGAGGGGTTCCTGCCAATCCCTTATTTTCTGTCGGCTGCTGTTAAAGCGTATGTGCTCAAATGTGCTGCAGTTGTGTGTTATTTAAACTCTTTATGTCACCTTCTACTTCAACTTCATATTAATAGCATGAACGTAGGAACTATAAAAAGAACATTTTTCATTCATTTCCTCAGCTCGGAGGGAAATGGTTAAAGGAGTCCAGATCTTTTGAAATTCTATGCTTTATGCGTTTCATTTTATGCTGAGGTGACTTAAAGAAAAACCTGCATTTTTCACAGCGTTCCTGTTTACTAGACCAAATGACAGACCGATTTCTGTGAAACATAAATTATTTTGTCTCTACATTGAGTATCTGTTCAATCTCCTGCACACGCTGATTCATCAAGTTTTAAAAAGTGTGCTCGTTTGACAGCTGAGTGACTTCTCAACCACCTTTTTATATTCTAGCACTCCTAGTCCTGCTGCACATTACACTTCTCCTAGTGTCTCTGCGTATTGTTTGTGTTTTTCTTTTACCAAAATATCATATACCATTGGACAATTTTATTGAAACGTGCAGGAAAACACAATTGGATGTCCACCTAAAGCTAAAACTTCGGCGTCTGTCCAAATCAAACTGGCCGACACAGCTAACAGACTTTAGCAACACCAAACTGGCTATAACTCGGCCATTGTTGCAGTAACTGAGCTAAAACTTTGTGTGGTAGTCCAATAATTTTCAGTCAGGTCATCTGGACAGTCTCTTTTTTTGTGTGTGCTGAAATGTTTCACCTTCCATCCAGAAGGCTTCATCAGTCAAGGAAACGCACAACACAAAACTGATTCTTCCCCCAACAGCTTACTCCAAAGTGGAACAAACCAGTTATGTTGGTGCTAAGATGGTCTCTTTGGCACGCCCCCTCCTCCAGTGCCGGACACAGTCGTGTCAAACTGGTTCAAAGCCAACAAAGTCCATGCTCAATAATCTTTAATTCTCAATAACTGGTTTGTTCCACTTTGGAGTAAGCTGTTGGGGGAAGAATCAGTTTTGTGTTTTCTTGACTGATGAAACCTTCTGGATGGAAGGTGAAACGTTTCAGCACACACACACAAAAAAAAAAAAAACTGTCCAGATGACCTGACTGAAAAGTGTTGGATTGTATACCTGGATTATTGAGCATGAACTTTGTGTGGTAGTAGCTGAGTCATCCTAAGCACATCCACGTCTTGCAATATTGCACCGAACTTTATTTTCAAGGTTTCACCAAAATGACTGCAACTCCATGACTTCTCAACATAAAATGATCTTATGTTATTTATTATTTCTACCTCGTGAAATGTTTGAGAATCAGTTCTCATTTGCAAACATGACCTGGAACTGGAAAGAGTTTAAAACTCTAGAATAAAAGGCAGTAAGCAATATGGTAGTCCCTCGCTACTTCGCGGTTCAACTTTTGCGGACTCGCTATATTTGTCAATACACATTAACATATTTTTTTTTAATAATTGTACAGGACATGATTGTCAACTTTAATATTACTCACGTGACTGGGACAGTACTGGATGCTGTACAGTTGAGGGGAAAAAAAATACTTCTGACAGGTGCTGCCATTTTGTAGTTTTCTCTCGATAAGCCTACACTGTATTCCTGCTCATAATGACTTCATTTCCCAGAAGGCAACAGGGCCCCGCCCAGAAGCCCCATTCCCTTCAGCTGAAATATGAGAGGTCCAGATGACCTGACTGAAAAATGTTGGATTGTATACCTGGATTATTGAGCATGGACTTTGTTGTTACGAGAGGTAAAGTTTTGATGTGACCGGAAAAAGTTTTGTGCTTATTACAGTGACTTTAGCACCTAGAGAGCCGCACGGAACCCACCGAACCAGAGCAGAACCAAACTTCCATACGCATCAGTGAATCTTGAGAGCTGGTAGCTGGCCAACCAGGACTTCTGAGCGGGGACGCATGCCGCCAAAGGTCAAGCACTCTATCTGGAGCTCACTGGGTATTTGGCGGTGCGCGTCCCGCTCAGAAATTCTCGTGGGCCGGCTACCAAACCTTCAGACCCATTGGTGACTCTTGAGCTGGTAGCTGGTACACGAGGACTTCCGAATGGGGACGCTCTGCCATAAGTCCAGCGCTCCATCCAGAGCCCATTGGTACTTTTTTCAACCGAGCCGCCTGCTGCTGTTCTGCAGAGCCTGGTAAGTAAAATGTAGTAGCTCCACATACAGTACTGTACGTATGTTCTGAAAATGACGTAGGTTTAAGTGTTTAGAACATTGCAAGATTGTGGGAGGGGTTTCTAAAGCCTTAATATATATAAATACTAAAATATATATAGCGTCGCTACTTTGCTGATTTTCATTTTATGCGGGGGGCGTCTGGAATCCAACACCCACAATAACCGAGGGACTACTGTATGCATTTGTTGAAGGAATTCTCCTTTAATTCAGATTTTCCTTTCTGACGGTGTGTTTATTTGAGGCACTCTGACAGGAATGTGTAAAACAAAAACATAATGAGCACTTTCTGGGATTCGAGGGCAGAATAAAAGTAGGAGCTGCAGATGCTTCTTTTTATTACGCCTCTTGGGAGTAAATCAGTGTCGTTTTCCTCCCACTTTTGTCCGGGACTGATTGTTTGCCCTGCCTCCGTCAGTCTTCATAAACATTGATTATCGCCGTTATGCTTCAATACCCCACCTGTCAGGGCCGCCATGACAAAAGACCTTTGTCGGTAGTGGTGGCTGTCCCAGACCATCTGAAAGCAGCCGGCGTTTTGCAAAGCATCTGTGTGATTAAACGGTCGCCGTGTGCAGAGTTCAACCCTGTCAATTTTCCTGAAAGCCAGAGATGTTGATTGGAGTAATCAGGTATGGTTTGGTTCCCTGTGCCAACGAAACATCTCAACACCAGGTTTTGTCTCCGCCGTTTGATAGATTTACTCCATGCTCGGCACAGTTGGAGCTGTGAGAATCATGCCAAGAGGTTTTGTCTAACACGCTTCCTCATCCTGCCAGACTCCTGGCTGAGCTCCAGCATGATACCCCCAACTTAAATAAATCCATGCTCTCTCCATCAGATTGCAAAGGATATATGTAGGCTAGCCAGTCCTGCAGCGTCTTTGTAGCAAACTAATATCCGTGATTCATGACGTGCGCTTGCTACACGAGCACTGAAATGCTACCGATCGTGTTATTTCCTCTGGATGAAGAGGCTATTTTCATATTGTCTTCGTTGACTTTGTGGAAGCTGCCCTAAAGTGAATATTGACCTCTCGGTTGAACAAAGCTCATGTGCTGCAGAGCCTTACTGACGATGGGTTTCGCTCACTCGGCTTGTACATGCTTTCACCCAAGAGGGAGGACGCAAAACGTTTAATCACTGCGACCCTGATGTTTAAACTCAGAGTAGAGAAGGACAGAAGGAGCCCAGCTCTTCATGCTTCACAAGGCTCCTGTCTCCCTCATTACTTTGACATTTGTCTCTTGAATAATAAAGAAGGTTGTCTTCCTTACAGTACTGCGGAGTGACATCCTGGAGCTGCTCCAGTTCGTTCACCGAGCCAACACAAACATATTATACATAGCTCAGTGTGTGTTGTAGATGACTCTTAACTACTATCAAGTCAAATTTTTATTGATTTTATTTTAATTTTAACTAAATAGTAGCCTTTTTTATGTTGGCTAACGGTTATCTGTGACTGCCATCCCCAGTGACCACAGACGTTTAATTCATACACGTACTTAATGTGAGTTTTATTCAAATCTGTCTCATGCTTATTGAAATAATTGCGAACAGATCTACAGGGTTGATGCAAAGCATTATTTCCAATGTTTTTAAGTAAAATATCACAGTGTGTATCACATATAGGGGCGGCTGTGGCTGAGTGGTTAGAGCAGTTGTCCTCCAATGGGGAAGTTGGGGGTTCGATTCCACCAGCAGTCACATACTTAAATGTCTCTGGGCAAGACACTGAACCCCTCATTGCCTCCGATGTGTGTCCCATCGGTGTATGTGATCGAAAAGCACTGATTAGTCTTTGTATAGATCTAGTAGAGTGCTGTATGAATGGGTAAATGAGGGCACAACTGTAGTGTAAAGCGCTTTGAGTACCTTGATAAGATAAAATGTACTATATAAGTACAGTCCATTTACCATTTAAAGGCAATGTTGGGAGGATCCTTTTCTATAACCATACTTCTTGGCTATAAAGTCTTTACTTACTGACTTGTGACAAATGGTGGTTGAGAATGAGATGCCATCGCAGAGCAGTGTAAGCTAGCGAGCAGCTTGAAGAAAAAAGTACCAGGCTGTTGTGGCTGTGTATTGTTCTTCCACATGCTACTGAGACCCCTTGTTAAATGATCAAATTACCAATACGTATGTCTACATTTGCAAAATTCCAATTATCCAATCCAATAAACATCAAAGTAGTCAATAGCAGGAAAAAGCTGTTTAGCAGAGAAGACTTGCAGCTGTAAGTGCAGCAAAAGGCGGCGCAACAAAGTATGAACGCAAGGGGGCCGAATAATATTGCACGCCCCCTTTTCAGTTTTTTATTTGTTAAAAAAGTTTGACACATCCAATAAAATTCATTCCACTTCACGATTGTGTCCCACTTGCTGTTGATTCTTCACAAAAATTTTTAATTTTATATCTTTTATGTTTGAAGCCTGAAATGTGGCAAAAGGTTGAAAAGTTCAAGGGGGCCGAATACTTTTGCAAGGCACTGTGTGTGTGTGTGTGTATGTATGTATATATATATATATATATATATATATATATAGAGAGAGAGAGAGAGATAGATATAGAGATAGATATATAATCTCACAAAAATTGCTCTTTTTTGACATTTTTTTTGTGTATGTAAACGAACTAACAAACACAAGGGGGTGGGGGGTTGTGCTTATTTTATATGATCTTAACAATAAGAAACACACTGGTTCTTTTTTGTAAGATAATATGAAATATCGTCTTAACACTAACACAAAAAATGGCTCTTTTTTTGTTCCATTCTTGTATTAAGATAATATAATATATTATATAATATCTTAACAATAAGGTCATTTTCACACCAGATAGTCAGGTAGACTCGGTTCGGGACCAATATTCATGACAATTTGTTTACATTTGAGCTGGTGCGTTTGCGTTCACACTGTACTCGAACCGCGTTGGAGTTTGCTTCTATCGGACTGAGACCTAGGTTTTAGCCCTGGCCAGAGTTCACCTTTTTGTTCCGTGACAGAGTTCGATGGTGTGTTCACACCTCCCTAAACAAACCGGACTTTCTAGGAAAACGAGCTAGAGTTCGATTAAAGCGGACTAAACAGGGCTGATGTGAATGCACCCTAAGAAACACAAAAGTGGCTTTTTTTCTGGCCTTTTTTGTGTTAAGATAATATGGTACTGTACTTATTAGATGGTGATAAAATGCTTTCATTTTATTCTTTTTTTCTAAGTAAAAAAGGGCGGCTTGGCTGAGTGGTTAGAGCAGTCGTCCTCCAATGCGTGAGTTGGGGGTTCGAATCCACCAGCAGTCGCATGTCTAAGTGTCCCTGGGCAAGACACTGAACCCCTCATTGCCTCTGATGTGTGTCCCATCAGTGCATGAATGTGATCTAAAAAGCACTGATTAGTCTCTAGAATAATTTGTTCAATTAGCTTTGTAGAGATCTAGTAGAGTGCTGTATAAATGGGTAAATGAGGACACAGATTGTAGTGTGAAGCGCTTTGAGTATCTTGAAATAAGATAGAAAGGCGCTATATAAGTACAGTCCATTTACCATGTACCATCTAAGTGTGGCATGTTTTCTTGGACAGTGAAATAATTGTCTATGGCTAGGGTTTGTAATGAGTCTGTTGTCAAAGTTGACAACCAGGTAGTTGCACAGACTTTTTGTTATCACTGTACCATGTCACTGAGCTGCAAAGCCAGTTTGGTCCTCATGTATAGACTTTTTTGTGTCTATATATGATGAGCACTTGCTGTGCTTTGTAGCTTCAACCCTATTCATCGCCTTGGTCCGTACAGAAATCCCAATGAGGCGGCCAGAAGGAGTCTGGAGGGGTTCTGTAGATGAATCTGCAAGTTGGCATGAAGCTCTTGAACCTGAAAGAATCGGTAGAATAAATTAATTCAATGAATTGGCCTTTGAAGGTTCTTTTTTGTGTGTCTGTGGTTAGGAAACTGGAGTTCCCAGAGAAAACTTGGCTTGTCTGGGCTGATGCCATCATTGGCCTCACCTCATCACGCTTTTCCTGTCGCTGATCTTTGCACTGTGCTTGTTGTTTGTTTTTACACAATCTTTCTGATATGTTTCTTACTGTAAAGTGTCCTGAAATTCGCTTTTTAAGTAAAATGATTATTATTATTATAAAACCCACACATGGTAAACATTCCAATGCACAAACAAGAACCCCCCCTCCCCAAGATGCATACGCAACAGAATTTTATTTATTTATTTATTTTTGTCTGTGGGAGGAAACTGGAGTTCCCAGAGAAAACCCACACATACAATGAGGAAAGGTTGCATAGATGTATTTCATGTTTTTTTAGTTGTTTTTTGTGCATTGAAATGTTTACTGGATGGACAGAGACACATGGGAGCCGCGCGCTGTTTTTACCGATAGTTTTCGCGAGTTTTACGAGCCTCTAGCTTAGCGGTACGTCACTACGAAGAGGTGTTTTTTTTTCAGCGTTGTCGCTGAAAAAACTTGTTCCTGGACACTTCTCAGGCTTTGTCGTACATTTATTGGCAGAAGCCTGCAGCTATTGGTGGACTGGCTGTTCTGTTCATGAACACTTGCTGGTGGAATTGGCCACAAAGGTCTGTTTTTCTTGTTGATGCAGATCATAGATTAAATGACGACGCAATCTATATGCATCTGGGGGCATGCCACCTTCGGTACAAGAGGTTTTCATGGATCTCAAAGTTGCCCCACTGGGAATGGTAAGCCTTTATATCTGGGCCAAGGGGCGATACTGTTGACCACTCGGGGAGCTGTTCTTCTGCCGGCCATGTTCTCACCAGGACCAGGGACAGATCGTCTTCTTGCAGTTCAAGCAGCCATTCATTGGTAAATGGAAAGCACTCCCCCTGTCCTTGGCTCGTCTGGGCTGATGCTACCATTGACCTTGCCTCATCACACCTTTCCTGTCGCTGATAGTATCGACACTCTGCAGTAGCACACGGGCATCGGGAGAGGGCATCGGCATTGCTGTGCTGCTTCCCCGGCCGATGCTGGCTCTCAAAGTTGTAGGTCTGGAAAGAGCCAGGTCAGTGATGCATGGTCGGACCACAGGAGGAACTGGCTGCCTTGCAGGTATGGACGGAAGTGTTGCACCACCCGCAGCAAAGCCAGGAGCTCTCGTCTGGTGACACAGTAGTTCCTCTCCTCTCGACTCAGTGTTGTTCAATACCATGATTTCGGGTATCGATACAATACCGCTTAAAATGCTGGCCAGTATCGGCGGTATCGATGCCGATACTCCGAGCAAATGCACCTAAGTAAACCTAAAAAAAGCAGTGTATTTAAAATCAAAGCTGCATAAAAACACATCAAAGTAACTATTTATTTTAAACTCTGAAGTCTAAAAATATAGCTGAGTGTATACAACAACAGAAAAACTAGATACAATCATAAAATATGTGAAAATGGTGTTTCAAACACTAAAAACAGAAAATAAAGTAAATAATAATAATAAAGCAATCCCTCGTTTATAACGGGTGTTAGGTTCCAGCCTGCCCCGTGATAAGTGGAAAAACTGTGAAGTAGGGACGCTGTTTATTTTAGTATTTATTGTACTATTAAAATAAAATATTATCAAAAATTACTATAAAATGAAAATATTTATATTTTGGGTCAAGAGCTCTCAGAAATCCTTGGAAACCTTGATCTTCCATTATGACAGGTTGGCTTTCTTGGACTGTGAGGTCTCAGTCTCTGATAGAGGTCATTTGCAAACCGAGGTGTACCGCAAACCCACCCACACAGACCAGTAATTGCAGTTCGACTCCCATCACCTTTTAGAGCACAAGTTAGGAGTCATCAGGACTCTGTACCACAGAGCAGACAGCATCCCCACTAACTCAGGAGCCAGGCAGAAGGAGAAATCCCACACAAGACAGGCTCTAGAGCAATGTGGATATCCTAACTGGGCCTTCCTGAAAGCAGAGAAGAAACCCAAACAGGACTCCAGTCAGCCAACAGGTGAAAAGGAGGAACCCAGACCCAGACCAGTGGTCATTCCATATGTTGAGGGAGTATCAGAGAAACTGAGACGTTTATTTTCTAAACATAACGTCCCAGTGGCTTTTAAACCCCAAAATACATTACGGCAAAGACTGGTTCATCCCAAAGATCCAGTCCCCCGGCACAAACAGAGCAATGTTGTATATGCTGTTCAGTGTCAGGAGGGCTGTGATCAGTCTTACATCGGGGAAACAAAACAGCCACTGGCCAAAAGGATGGCCCAGCACAGAAGATCAACATCATCAGGCCAGGACTCTGCGGTCTACACTCATCTCCAGGCCAGCGGTCACTCTTTCAGGGATGAAGATGTTCACATCCTGGACAGAGAGGAACGATTGTTTGAGAGAGGAGTAAAGGAGGCCATCTTTGTCAAAAGAAATCGTCCATCATTAAACAGGGGTGGAGGCCTCAGTGTTCAATTGTCCCCCTCTTACAATGCTGTTATTGCTAGTATCACTCAACCCTCTGTGAATAGTAAACAGCCATCAGTGTTCTAATGATCCATTGTTAGGCTGATGGTCCTTTTTGATCAAGTGAGCAGCTGGTTTTGGTTGTCAGCAGCAAACTGGTTGATCCACTCTGAGAAGGTGTTATTTATAAGACTGAGCTGAATACAGCACCTCAGACTGAGGAAGTCTTTTGGATGAAAGACGAAACATTTCTACAGTTTTTTTTTTGTTGTTTTGCTTTTTGAATGTCCAGAGGACCAGATTGAACTTTTTTAGATTGCTCTGTATAATTTGATGACACCTGATCTATGTAATCCACTTTAAATGATCAATTCTTTAGGAAACCTTACCTGAATAAATATTTTTTGCCTGTTAGGTTATCTCAGTGATAAACATATTATTACTCCAAACTGAACTCATGCAAACTATTTGTTTGAGCATTACTTTATTGTATGCTACAGCTTTTTACAGTTTTTCCACAAACTTCACAAACAAGTTCTTGGATGTTTTTGGAGCTGAAATGGCTCCACACGTGACTTTTTGTACGTTCCGCCATTGTTTGTTTACAGTCTAACTGACCATGACGAGCAGTGTGCTACTCCGCTTACATGCATTGCGCACCACTGGTAGAAGAAAAAGTAGTTCCCACCAACCGCGTATCATTTAGACAAGATCTCAAGCGTTTACTTTCCACTACCTTCCTGTTAATGACATGCATTACCTGAAATTACTGAATTATCAAAACTACTGATAGTTTGAGTTAAGAATCGATTCTAGAGCACAGCGCTCTGGTATCGATATCGATCCACACATCATTAGTGGCTGGACAGGCCTACAGATGTTTGCAGTGGTCCCCTGACCCAAGATGGACTCAACCCTTTTACCCCAATCAACCTCTGTCTTAACGCTGCTTTTGTCTGTCTGGTGATTTTCCTTTACCTAGTTTTGTTTTGTATTTTTCTTTAGCCCTAAGTGTTTGGGATAGTATTTCTCTACTTTTGGCCTCTGTCTTTTAGGACGAGGACATACTAAGTCTCCCTTAGACCAAATTCTTGGGGAGTCTTGTTGAATATGAATCATAAAACACTGTTCAGGCTAAAAAGCAGACTTTGCACCATAAATACAGGTTTATCGCTTAAATGCTCATCGTAAATCCTCATTTCTTGACCTGTAAAAACAATACCAACCTTGCAATTTATTGGACGCTGATGCATGTGATGGAAAAACCCCGAAGGCAAAAACGGTTCAAAACAGTTTAAAACAATCTAAAACAGTCCAATCAATGGGGAAAACACAACATCGCCTCAGCTGCTTTTGTCAGACGATGACCTTACGGCGCATGTCAGCATCCCAGCTGGATGAGTCAGGATAAAGAGGAAAAAATACACATAAATATATATGTAAAAAAAGAGAAAAATACACGAGTAAACCATCAAAAATAACTTTAAAAAAAAATCATAAATGTAGCCATTTAAATCATAAAAATAAGAAAACTAAGAACTAATGTAAAACTGATTTAGAAAATCATAAACACAAAAACATAAAACTGATTAAAAAAACTTGTTTATAGTATAACTCGTGTATTGCAAGTGTGATAACCTGTCTGGAATCTCTTCTGAGTATCAAGAATCAACAAACGATAAAACAATAATGAATAAAAGTAGAAAGTATTTAAAAAGGGAATAAATGTAATGTCAATCAACAAGCATTGAACATCCCCTTTAACACACATCCTCTCAGTGTAATTTTGGGTTCACTCATGCTATGAAGCGTCTTGTCGTGTCACATTGTGTCCTCATAATCAGATATGCTGAGCTCATCTTCCTCATAATGTTTTTCTTGTCTGTGTGAGCAGTAAACATTGTGTGGTTACTGCTTGGGTGATAACCCCTCTGAGACAGGGCAAAATACAGGTTGTGAGCAAGCAGAGAAGCATTAAAAATATCAGTACAGGTGTCAACAGTCTTGATAACAAACAATACCAGGGCCCCGAGGTCAGCCAGCCCCAAAGGTTCCATTCACCGTCGCTGGATACATCTCGGGCCTTCATCGATGTCAACAAATCTGTGAAATGCTGATGTGTATATGCTAGGTTGTCATTTGCATCTGGGATCCAGGTACAACAAAATTACTTGGCATGTGCCTCCCTGCTGTGCCAGCAGAAAATCCAAAGCCATCCTATTTTGAAGTGTCCTAAGGCGCAAGGCCTTTAATTCTGGGCTCAAGGACCGGAAACCCACATCCACCGTGGCTATCAGATGCTCCCAAGTCTACCGCCATGATGTTCAGCTCATGTGACAGTTGAACTGTTCCATAAGCAGGGATTACAGCACTCATAAATATTCTTCCTCGAGACAGTCTCTGTCCTGCTTCAAACACCGTAAAGTACCGGTAAAATACGGTAAATATTCAATAAATTGGTACAAATGATTTTTATTGTTAAACACTTTTGGTAACAGCTGCTGTTTTAAAATGTAATTTTTAAATACATTTTTACGTGATTTCTCCTCAGCATTATTCATATGAGCAGGAGGGAGGAAGGGGGAACAACCCCCCCTCCGCCTCACGTTGTTCCGCCTCGTGTGGAGCTTAAATGAGATACAGCACTGGTATTTAAACACATATTTACAGTACACAGAAATATTTTTTTAAGTTTTATTTAAATATGCATCAGTTTTGACTGACTGACTGCTTTTAAAAATAAATCTTGATGACCTCCGCTGAGCTCTCATGACGGAGGCGGAATGAACCCCTCCGGTTTGTTGACTCCTCTGCTCCGTTTCATGCGTTTTGGATGCGAGTTTAAAATAAGATCCCGTATTTAAACGCATGTTTACTGACACAGAAAGATGTCACACAGAAAGAATTTTAAAACTTTTATTAAAACATGTACCAGACTTGACTGCTTTGTGCCTCTAATGCCTGACTATCGACACGTTGATGCAAAGCTTCTGGGCGGCAGCTCTGTTTCCTTCTTCGACATCCAATCACGTTTAATATGAAAGCTGCCTCATAAGAAATTCTCTGTGCATTTTCCGCTATCGCTGAACAAATAAACAGGTCTGTGCATGAAGCGCAAATACGGTAACAACACAGGAACCAGTGTTGCCAGGTGAGAAATGTAGGATTATCGTACTATAGACATAAAATTATCGTATTTTGAGGGAAATTATCATTCACCCGTCATAACCAAAATATCAAATCTATTGATGCACTATAGTAGTGATGGGTCCGCTTCCAGACCGGCTCTGCTTCTTCTTCTTTTCTTTTCCTCACTCATGGGGCGGACGCAGCAGACTATTCATCCAATCATGGCCGTTGTTCTGAGACAAACGCAAATACGTCACTCGTAGGTAACATTTAGAAAATTATAATGTGCATCTGTTTGCGGACACAGATGCCTTCAGGGTTCACAAAAAAACTCAGACACAGTTGCGACAGGCTGATGACAACCGATTACAACCACACATTCACGGAATGGCCAAATTATCGTATATTTGGCCTTTTTTGGGATTATTGATCATACAGAGGGCAAAATTGTCGTACAAATACGATAATTATCATACACCTGGCAACACTGACAGGAACGATCTGAAGAAATGTATGCACATCTATCTTGTGGGATCAGTGGCGGTCCTAGCCTATTTGGCGCCCTGGGCGAGCAACCTCAACGGCGCCTCCCCCACCCGCTAGGTTGTGCGCAAGCCGTTTGGTTGCTGCT